GGAATATTGATTGGCAGCAAGATTCATTGAGGTAAGCACGAAGATGTAAATCGGCATTTCCCGAACAACATGAGAACGAGACCTAGATATCTTCTCGCCAAATAAAATTCTAAGCTTATCTACCAGTGAGAGCAAAAGAGTCCCAAAACGTCGACCTTCTACATTTTTTATGAAATGAAGACAAAACGGCTTCATATAAAAAACATTGCCAATTTTCAGGTGAAAACGTATTCAGCCCTGAATTATAAGTATGTCATTCCACGGAAGGGTCTGAAGCTTGACACAAATGAAAACGCAAACGCAAATGGAAATGGATACACGTCCAACGTAAATGCAAGGAAAGAGAGATACGCAAGCACAGTAAAAGTATTTTTCCAAGATGGCCGACAATGATTGCGCTTTTTCCGATTCACACGTGTGAGAAGCGAACACAAATACTGGCTTAAGAAGATGAAAATGTTTTTTGCGTTTGCATTTGCACACGATCAATTCCTTGCATTTGCAATTGCGTTTTGCTGAGGTCTCCTGGTGTGATTGATTGACCGAGGGAGGTGTGGGTATTACTCTCTTAGGAAATTAATTAAACTTTTTAGAGGCAGCACAATAGAAATATTATACGTACTTCAAATCGTGTAATAACCCAAGTCAATGTGCCACTTTGGAACTTAAGAACATCTCGGATATATGGTTGGAAAGTTCGAAGGACGCTTGAATTTGATGTGTTCAGACAGCGAGTATTTGTATTGCTAAAAAAGATTTTGTGCCATCAGTTTTTTGCTTTCTTTCAAAGTATAATTAGGGACAGATAACTAAAATGAGGAAAATAGCCGCGCTTTTTTTTGCAATGGGAGCGAAATAGAGGTTCAGCTTTTCATTCAGACCGAAGAGACTAAATTCTGTTGTTATCGTCCCTGAGGAATCCTGGTAACTGGTTGTGATAAAAATTGCAATTCTGATATAAGTTAACTAGCCTAATCCGAATCAAGTGACACCTTGCCGCAAGAGCCGCCATAGTTAATGACTTCTGAGGTTGACACACAGCCCACTGCAACCCCGCCTCCCAGGGAGAAAAATACTGGTAAAGCGTATTTTTTCCAAAGCTGCGTTTATTGATTTGGGTTGAAATATTCACTTTATTAACGATCCACCCATTAATGGAGACTTAAGAAAAACAACAACAAACAAAAAATAGATAAATGAGTTTCCACAAGTTCGTCGAAACCGACTACGGTGAATAATCGTGCACTGAGAGAGTACTCCATAGTTCTGCATTTCCAGTTTAAAACAACTCCTTCTTTAATGCTCCCCTGTCCCTAGCCCCCTTCGAGAGCAAGTACGGAAATATAAGTCCACACTTGAATTGTTTCATTATATATATATACATTTCCATACGTTTAAAATACAGCCTTCAAAAGTTTGGATTCGTTTATGTAAATCATGTAAACGAACACAAAAACTCCGGGACAAAATCGTCTCAAACAAAACAAAGACTATATAGGTACCGAACACCTTAAAACCCTATGTTTGAATATCGCGGGTTGACTTTGGATTTTATATGATCTAGGGTCTTGCAAAATGGTTACGCGATACGCTCCAGTCTCTGAATTGAATCCTGACAGAGCGTAGACGAGAAGACTCTTATGAGAGTTGACTAAAGATAGAAACGGTACAAATATCTAAATGATTAAAATGACAAGAAATGCATTTTTTCGCTTCTAGAAAACTAAGCAACGATACAAGTGCAACGATTAGTGAGCTTCCGCTCAGTTTTCCTTCTCTTTTGAGTGGAACCAAAAATAATCCAGGAAGATGACTGAATTAACCTAACCAGCAACTGCACAGATAACTCAGAGAGAAATTAGATAGAATGAGGAACACATGATGGGGTTTCAAAAATAAAATCATAACTGCTGCTTCTTGCCATCAGAGGCATTAGAAACACCACTTTGTGTAGCCTATAACCAAATGATAAATATTTGGTGTTTTTATTGCTGCGGGGAAAGGCAGAACGTCGAGTTTTCAAATGGCAAGTATCAAAAAATCGGAATCATTAGGAGAAAATACTACCCTTTTTCACTGGAGTTAGAGTTAAGTTAAATACAAATGCACCGGCAGATCAAAAGAGTTAAATGTCACCGTGTAATTTTATTTTGTAAAGTTTTGTCGACTGGATCATTTTTTCCCTTTAAAGTCATATATTCTTAGTTACTAACCGACAGCTTTTAAAAAGTTCAACTCTGTGATCTGGGAAATAGCTCATCTCCGATAGTATTTTGCAGTTTGAAATTAGTTCAAATTAATGCATTACAGGCATAGGCTTCAATCCAAAATTTCGGTCAAGCTGCTCTCAAATTAACATACTCTAATTACCTCCCTTACTTCTGCTTCAATAATATAATTTCTCCCGTAAAAACCAAAAGCTTTCAAACCTCCATTCAAGGATTTTAGAAACTATTTATTTCCACTCGTTTGATGTGCTTATGTTGATTCTTTAGATTCATTTGTTTTGTGGGTGAATTTACGACGATGCAGGACTTAAATCACACTAACAATCGCGGAGTTTAGGCGGATGCTTTTATCTGTAATTCTTGTTCAGCTGCACTAAAAATGCCGTTCTTCTTTCAGCTATTATCTGCCAATTATTCGGAAAAACTAGATTGGAGTTCTCATAATGATAGGTTTAGTCTGCAATTGCACTCTTCCTCAGCATGCTGCTTTCTTTTCTATTTGAAAACCGCCCTTTTTGCATTTGAATTAAACTCAGTTCCTTATAGAATAGAAACACTTTAGTTATTGGTTAATTACCTCCCTTACTTCTGCTTCAATAAGATAATTTCTCCCGTAAAAACCAAAAGCTTTCAAGCCTCCATTCAAGGATTTTAGAAACTATTTATTTCCACTCGTTTGATGTGCTTATGTTGATTCTCTATATTCATTTGTTTTGTGGGTGAATTTACGACGATGCAGGACTTTAATCACACTAACAATCACGGAGTGTATGCGAATTCTTGTTTAGCTGCACTGAAAATGCCGCTCTCCTTTCTGCTATTATCTGTCAATCATTCGGAAAAACTAAATTGGAGTTCTAATAGTGATAAGTTTAGTCTGCATTACATTCTTCCTCAGCATGCTGCTTCTTTTCTATTTGAAAACCGCCCTTTCAGTATTTGACTTAAAATACTGGTTTGTCTGTTGTTTCGAATGTTAATTGGCAGCAAGATTTGTTGTGGTAAGCGATGAAGATGTGAATCAGCATTTCCCGAACAACAAAAGAACGAGAAAACCAAGATTTTCAAGGAATTGTCGAAAGTTGCGACCAAAGCACAGGTCAATTTTTCATCTGTCTGTGTTGAACAGCCTTGAAAGGTTTGTAATGATCAGTGATGAGTGATCTTATAAACTTTAAATTACTCCAAAACGATCCAGAGACTGATATATCTTTTCGAAACCTCTATGTATTTCATTCAAACGTGACAAAAACGTAGGCACCTTTTTTGTCAGAAGTTCATTTCAAACCAATGACCAACCAGGAACTTTCAAATGCGCTCGCTCACGATGCAAAACTTGTCCTTTCATTCATAACATGGGGAAAATGTCGGGACCCAAGAGATCCATTAAGATCTCTGATCAATTTACGTGCACCTTCGCCAATGTCATTTACAGCATAACTTGCACTCATTGCAAAAAGTTATACATTGGTGACACAGGAAGACGACTAGGTGACCGAATACGAGAACACCTTCGCGACGTAGAGTGAAATGAGAAGGATTCATCCTGACCAGTCGCTAGAAACTTTAATCTCCCTAATCATTCTAAGCAGAATATGGCAGTTTGCGGCCTTTCCCTACATCTTGGCGGTTCGGAAAGCCGCAAAACTCTAGAACAAAAATTTATCTTCCAAATCAGCATTCTTAATCCTCATGGTATCAACAAGCGCTAGCGCTTTTCATTCAACTAATTGATTTTTTTTCCTCGTCACAATATTCGTACCAATAGCATGGCTCCATTTTCTGCATATGAACCCACAATTCCTCGAATCGCTCTGACAAAGGGCTAACTCTCGAAATGTCAGCCTTTAAACACTTAATTACTCTGTTATACTCTCCCACCGACGCAGCACCACAGTTTCTTTAGAAAGTTACCCCCATGTTCATTTGTTTAATAACTCACTCGTTTGCTGCGCTCACTCGTTTGATACTGTTCTTGCCACTCGAACATACAATTCATGTCTTCTCTTCACCGTGTACTATCCTCTATATATCGACCAGTGATAGCACTCATTGCAGGCGTGTCTGTTTATGAACACGTAAACTCTCGCTAGGGGCCATTTTTTTGTTTGCAAAAGAGTCCAAAACGCAGACCTTTTATTTTAATTAGAATTCTTTATGGAGAAGGTAAAACGTCGTGAAATGAAAACAGAACGGCTCAACATAAAAGAAACATTGCCAATTGTCAGATTGAAAACGCATTCAGCTTGTAATTACAAGTACGTCATTCTATCGAAGGATCTGAAGACTGGTTTATACGTGCGATGCAAATGCAAACGCAAACGCAAATGGAAATGCAAGCGAGTCGAAACGTCCAAAGCAAACACGAGGAAAGAGAGATACGCAAGCGCAGTCGAACCATTTTTACAAGATGGCCGACAATGATTGAGCTTTTACCGATTCACACGTGTGAGTAGGGAACGCAAATGCGAGCTCAAGAAAATGAAAATTTGTTTATTACTTGCGTTGACGCTTGCGTGTGCATCTACATTTGCGTTGGGTTGGTTCCCACGAGCAATTATTCCTTTCATTTGCACATAGGCGTACGGGCATTTTTTTGCCAGGGGGGGCGGTGAACCATTTGCCCAAAAAATTCTCACAAGTTGCCCAAATTTTTACGAAACAGTCGAAAGGAAACGAGGGTCATACGATGCACTAACAATGGCCTACATATGAAGTGAAAATATTCTTACCTATGAATCTATCATATGAGCTCAAAAAACACTTTAAAACTTAAAAGAAATAACTGTCTCTGCCATTTCGACGACCGAAGATATCAATGATACGATCCATGTCATTGTTGACTACAGAGTTGGCATACGCCCTTTCAATGTTGATAAGTGCAATGTTACTGACACGTTGTTGCCCCATGGTGCTGCGGAGGTAAGTTTTAAATCTGCGCAACGCACCGAATGATCGCTCTGCTGAACACGATGTAGCAGGTATCACTGCAAGGATATGCACCACACTGGAAAACTCTGGAAACATATCGAATAGATCATTCTCACGCATTGTCTCTAGCATTTCTGAAACAGTCATGTAGCCCAATCCGCGCACATGACGAAAACTCGCGTACATTTTCTGCTCGGCTTCCAGAATCTCGCCGTCGATGTTGTAAAACTTAGCAATGCGGGAGAAGCTTTCTTTATCAGGTGTTTCACTGTGGCAGATATTTCCCAAAGCAAAGAGGATATCCTGGTCATTTCTGCTAAACCTGAGCTCAAGCTCGGACAGCACCTTGTCGACGGAAGCATAGTAGGTGTTAATACAGTGGTGCGATTCCGGTGTCAGCTGCGTTTGTCGTTCACCTACAAGGGCTTGAAGGCGGAGCGATGGCGTCTGTCTGGGTGCCCTGGCCTCTCGTAATTCAAACTCAGAATTGGTCAGCCACTTCTTAATTTTCAGACCCATTGCTGATGCTAACTGCCATACGCTGTTGAAACTTTCTTCATTCCGACACTGGCGTAGGGTCTGAATGGTCATGTCGGCATTTCTACGAGCGGAGATGACGTCAACCGTCTTCCCCTGAAGATATCGACACAAACTACTGGTGTTGCTCAGGATTACTTTCAGCAAACACAGTCCGAAGATAAACTCCAAGTCACAAATGGCAGTCAACAAGGCTCTGCTCTCAGAGTAGGTTTTCGGATCTTTGTCTGCAGACAGCGTGAGAAGGCTTTTACAATACGTTCTATTTGCCCGTATACGGCTTTTACGGCTTCCCACCGGCATGACCATCGCGTGGCACTCAATGACTTCAGCATCAGTTTCAGATCCTTGCCTTGTACTTCTGTGTCACTAAACAGGGCGTGTCGTTTGGGACTCGCATCTAAAAAGTTGTGCAGAGCCTGGATAGTCCCCAAAGCGTTTCGCAGTGGTTCAATCTGTGTCATAGTATCCTGAAGTGCGAGGTTGAGCACATGCCCGTAACAGTGGACGTAGATACCGAACGGGGAGCACTCTTCCATTCTTGTCGAGAGTCCTTTGTGTACACCGTTCATGTTAGCAGCCCCATCGAATGCTTTACCAACAATGTTCTTTAGGTCAAGATTGAGTTCAGTGATAGAGGATTTCACCGGTTCATACAGTACTTCTCCTTCGGTTGATTTCGTGGAGTAGAAACCAATGAATGCTTCCTTCTTCGTTCCATTCAGCGCGAAACTAAGGCAAAGTGAAACTTGTTCTGTTCTGCTAATGTCTGATGTTTCATCCAAGATGATACCATACCATCCGCTGGCTCGCACATCGTTTGTGATACGCTCACGAATAAGATCGGCAATAATTTGTAGCAGTTCGTTTTGTATCACGGGAGATGTCCACTGCGCGTGCTTCTGAAGCTGGCTATCGAGTTTATCCTTTAGCCAAGCTATGTCCTTGCACCGCAAGTGAATTAGTTCCAGAAAATTACCTCTATTTACATCACTGCCATTACTCAAACCATCACGTTGTTCATCGTGACCCCGCTGGGCGATGTTCTGCTGGGCCGTAAACATGAGACATTCAATGATAACTTTCAGGTAGTCACGATTTTCCTTCACATCTTGCTTGTGTGATTTCTGGAGTTTGCTCAGTATTGAAGTATTTATCTTCTTATTTGCTCTACTATCAATCTATTTCGCCATGGCCATTTGATGGTTCTCACTCTTGTGGTGTTTAGTAAGACGCTCTGGCTTCTTCCAATTGTCAAACGTGAAATCGTGGGCATTCAAGTATTTCTGGCATGGGTAGCAGCACGCTTTCTTAGTTTCAAAGTCGTAGCTCAGCCATGGATATCGTTTGTACCAGGCTGGGTTTAAATCTCTAGAAAAAGATTCACTTCCAAATTTTTTTGGGTCGTACCACTTCAAAATCGGTTGCTGAGGACTCTCATCTATATCACTGGACGTTAGGCAAGTACCACTACATAAATTTGTATCCAATGACGAATTGTGCGCACCATCCACGATATCTGACTTACCTGGAGCACCATTATTCGTGATAGCTGACTTAAGTGACTTTTCTGGAACACGATTATCTATGACAACTGAAATGGACTTATCCCTATAAGTACTATGCACGATGTCAGAGTTAGCACAGTTATCTACAATTTCTGTCGTATATGGAGCACTAGTACTATTGTCGGCACCATTATCTATGCTTTCCATATCCATGATCTCTGACGTATCCAAATTACCTTTATCCATGATTTCTGATTCATCCGTCATACCAGCATCCATAGGTTCTGACGTAGCTGGAGCACAACAAGCACCATTATTCACTTGAATCACCTCGATTTCTGACTTATCCAGGGCAGTATCTGAAGAATCCACCACTATATCTATACGGCTGTCATTTTGAAGATCTGAGCCAACGTCTTCGGCGTCAATTTTACTGCATTTAACCATATTGGTAATGGTTTCATCGCCGCCAGTGAAACCTAGTTGCGATTGATTTGGCGCACGAGAAATAGTTAATTTAACTTTCTTGCCTATATGCTTGGTTCTTGCATGAGCGTCTTGGTACTCGGCAACGATTTCTTTTTTGCATTCGGAGCATTTAACACGATGGCGATAGGCCCGTTTTCGTTTCTGTGGTGCTGGATTCGACATGTCTAATATGGGACAAGGAGAGTTCTACAAGAAAATGCATGCAAGATGCGTATTTGTTTCCACTGTCACGTCACTTTTTACGAAACTACAGGCGTGAATCTCACTGGCTTTACGCACGTAAAGCCCATGATAAAGCCAGGTAAATTCACACGAGACAGTGGTTGTCTAGCACGTGACCCAGATCTTCTGAAAGTCTCCAGTCGATAATCTACAATATGATTCTAGAAAGCTATGCCGAAATTGATTCTAATAAATTTACAACACCAGCTAGTACAGTACAGTAAAGTATGTACAGTGCCCAAAAACAAAAAAAACAAGTACGTATTTCAACTTATGATCCCCTTTACTAATGACCAAAAGCTCGTCACGTGCTAGGCAACCGCTGTCTCGTGTGAATTTAACAGTTTCCACGGTCGCGTAACTTTTTACGAAACTACGGGCGTAAATTTAACTGGCTTTAGGCACTTAAAGCCCATGGTAGAGCCAGTTAAATTCACACGAGACAGTGGTTGCCTAGCACGTGACTCCGATCTTCTGAGAGTCTCCAGTCGATAATCTACGATATTATTCTACAAAGCTATGCGGAAATTGATTCTAATTAATTTACAACACCAGCTAGTGCAGTGCGGTACAGTACAGTACAATGCCCAAGAACAAACACAAAAAATAGAAATATGTATATCAACTTATAACCCCCCCTTACTAATGACCAGAAGCTCGTCACGTGCTAGGCAACCGCTTTCTCGTGTGAATTTAACTGGCTTTCCATTTTTAAATTCAGGTAAAAATAGAAAATATCTATCTATTTCAATAAAAAACTTGAAAACATCTTTAAAAACTGGCTTTGCCCAAATTTCTCTTGCTGCCCAAAAAATCTGAATTGCCCAAAATTTTGGGGGGGGCTGCAGCCCCCCCGCCCCCCCGGCCCGTACGCCTATGCCAGCAACATCAGACCACAGCACTTTGGGTTTTTCCATTACAATGGCACCTTATTCCGCATCTCTAGCGTTCATTTCGTAATAAACGAGAGCCAGATATTTTCCCCTCCGGCTCGAGACTCGACCCCTGACTCAGTTAATAACTGTGCTCCTAGAAAAAGAGACGCGTGCATAACAAACGCGTGACACCATAAATTGACCATGCTTTGATGATGTGCTGACCGTTCATAGTCGGCCCTTAAAACCTTAGGAGTAGCCAGATCAGATTTTTCCTCGCATTAATACCGCTGAATCATTCATTAAGGTCATGCGAATAAAGGAAATGATCGCCAACTTAAGAGCTATGATTCATAAATAAAATCTCCTTGTCACTACCAAAGGAAACGTAAAGAGAAGAGTGAGGAGAATATGGATACTGATGTTAGGGGTAAAGGATCCTACGTGTTTGTGATCTATTATTGGGGATCTCTCGTATAGAGTCGCGTACGTGTAAGACCGCCACAAATAAACTCGAGGTTTGAGAGAACACATGGCGGCCCTCCAACACTTTATTTTGTAAGGGCTCCCCCCAGGTCTCCGTTGAATCATATCATGAGTTTAGCCAGATATGAAACTTTACAAGGAAGGGGGGGGGGTGGGTGGGTGGGTGGAACCATTTCACCTCTTTAGGGGTGGCCTAAGTCTGCCACCAGTATTTTAAAACCGATAGACATATGGTAATAATTTGATTCCTAAAGTTGGTTGTATCACTTTATAAAACAAGAGACCGTTCAGAAATCGAATTGTGGTAAGTACAATGTGAGATGATTAATTTGCTGTATTATCGGTCCAATATCAAAAGAATTTTGTTATTGATACAATATATTTCCAAGCCTCTTTAAGTATTTCTGCCTTTACATGATTTAGTACTCGTTGGATTACCAATATAGGGATTAATATACCAACGCTAAATATTACGGGGAAGCAAAATCCCAGTAAAGAACAAGATAGCTTGTGGTAAATAAAACGTCCAAGCAGATAAGGGTTGAGCGATTGTTTCTTACGATCGATCTGCTTGTAATACAATACCGACATCGATCGTGTCGTCGTAATCATATCATAACAATTCGACAATCGTGCATACTAAACAATTTTCACATTTTTAAAGGCTTATTTAGAAGCAGCAACTTATTGAAGCTACAAGTTAAAATAACGAAACTCCCATGCGATATTCTATCATTGAAAAAGGAGGGCGATTATCGAAAATCATACGTGATGATTGTAGGCTAAATAAGACGCACTCTTTAGAGGCGAGCGAAGGAATGAATATCTGTGATCAAATAGCACCAAATAATTCAAAACACAACGCAAATAGATAGACAAAATAATTTTCAAACACACTGCACATTATAGACATTTACATCGATATTAAACTTCAGGGCTAGCACTTGTCTAGCACTAGTCACAATTTCCTTCGGACGTGTCTACCTGAAATCAGCCCGACAAGCTGATTCTGAGCCTTGGAAACGAAGATTGTTCCCGCGTTAAATTTGTCTCGAGAATTTTTTCAAATGTTTAGAAGGACTCACTGGTTTCATGTACAGTTAAGCTTCCCATCCGCTAAAAAATGTTCAGTTCCGAAGAAAAAAAAGAAATAAGTCGTCGACTTAACTATTCCACGTCGTAGCCTTTTAGAAGAAATTTTGAAAAATATTGACAGATGGGCCGAAACTTGGTTTGGTCAGTGTTTTTAATCAAGTTATGGGGAAGTTGCAGAGAGAATGGTTTCAACCATTGTCCTCCGGTGGTTCCTTTACGATTTAAATGTGCACTTTGCCCGAACACTGGCAATTTGCTGTTACTTTTTAGGGTTTTAATTGTTACCAGTATTATAATCTTTTGCTAATCAGAGTCCTGATTTGTATTCACTCGAGCCTTTCTTTATCAACTTCTGTGATGCACAAATATTTTTTTTTCA